TTTCTTTTGCAACGACCTAATAGTTATTCCCTACCGCTGAGCGCGCGTTCTACTGCGGGACTTTGGCATCGACGCAAGCGCTGAGCTGAGTATAGCGGGCGGAGTACGGAGACGGTACTCGGGTGCCACTACCCTACAACCCCTTTCCCGTGCACCGTTGAGCTCAGAAAGTAGCACGCTACTGTACCTGCGGAGCCACTCGCCTCACGCATGTCAAGGACCGTCTTCCGAGGAGGCTGTACGGTTTGTCGTCAGATCTTAACTGCTCACATGGGTGCAGATACCCTCGAAGATAAAGACTTTAAGCGCTCTATGCCACCTACGGCGCAGTTCGGCGACGGGGGGGGGCACTTTGCACTTTGCTACTAACCAGAGAGCTTTTTCATGAGCGAAGGGTTGACAGGTTTTATCATGGTAGCTCGACGAGCCTACTCTAGCTTAACAAGAGTTCACAGGCTTTACCAGAGTGAAACCTGAAAACCGGAACTAGTGCAGCAGTGAAAGTGCAAAATGCCCCCCCGTCGCCGAGCAGCGCCTGCTACCTGCAACCACATCCAAAGGCCTCAGTGCCCGAGGTGTGGATTTCTAACCTCGCCTACTTCACCGCTTTCTATGATTATTTGAACTTAACATTGCTAACCTTCCCTTCCAAATATAGCCCTCTTGCCTTTCTCCACGAGAACTCCTTGACTATGGTAGAACTTGGCGACAGCAGCACCGTCTCCAGTTTTGCTAAATTCTGCCATTTTTTCATAGATGGGCTTGAGCGTTGCTTCAACGTCTGAAAAAGAAGCTCTACAAGAGAAAACAGCAGGACTCTGATGAAAGAAATTTGGCCTGCAATTCGGATTTGGCAAGGATTTCATTGTTCATCTTGACAATTCGACATTTTCAAGAATTTTATGGAGGAGCAAGGCCAGAAGAGTAAGGCATAAGAAGCTCCCAACGTATTTTCGGAACTTCAGTGGCCGATCGAAGACTTTTTGACTCTACTTCAATCATCATCAAGTGCCAGCGAATCTGCCGTTTCCAACAGAGATACGTATAGGTTGTAATATGACGGGCGCCAAAAACTACGTTCCCAATGTTACAGCGTTTCATTTTCTGAGCTTTCGTAGCCGCATCTACCCAAATGATCATAAGGCTGTTGTTGAGCTCATCTGTCATGTGCTGTCATTAGTTAAAGTGAAATTCGCAGCGCCGTCAAGTAGAACGCGTTCCGAAGGGACTTACCATGATAACTGCTCTTTAAAGTTGCAGTTCAGTCACCGAAAGTTACCCAAGAATGTTGAATATGGGCAAAAGTTCCTACCCCAGGCGGACCTTCGTACTCTCACGCATTCTGGGCAAAAGCGCTCATCACGTTGAATATGTGATTGCTTTAGAGCAACCGTGCAGAAATCCATAGTCCTGATAGAGAGTGGCGGCTACGGCGCGTGTAGTCGGATAGCGCACTGGCGCAGCCATGAGCGGCCGATGTTCGGAGTTTGAGGGTCCTGGAAGTCAGAATTTGCTTATAATCAAGCATTTCTCGATGATTAAACACCACTGCCAGAAAGGGAAGACAAAGAGTTTGGGTTTGAAGGTGAAAGCTCACCTTCAAACAAATTGAGGAACCAACTTTCTTTGACTGACCTCCCGGAGAGCAGACACCTGGCCAACTTGTCATTACACAAAACAGGAGAACATTAGGGGAGTCTCTTGTCCGGGGCCAGTTACAAAAGGTCGCTTTTAAAACATATAAAAAGGGTAGGAATAGGCTAATCTCAGGGCAGATAAAAGTTCAGTACTGTAGAGTTTCTTCTGTGGAAACTCTTCTGTGGAAGTGCTATTCCAGGCCTGCGATTCTTGAGTACACAGTGGGCTTTTTTTTCGCTCACCATTTACATGCTCTGCCCAAATCGATCACTGGCCGATCACTATTGGTACAAGAGAAAGGTGGAGCCATTCCGCCCCTCCTGACACCGCCCCGTCGTTTGCGACGATGTCAGCTTTACGCCACGCTACTAGAATATCGCCATGAAAAGCAGTAAGCCTACCGTATATCTGGTCTTACATAGAATCCTAGTTTACAGAGCCGCGTCCAGTCCAAATACTGCAGCAGAACGTACGGAAATCCCGAGACCTAATCCATCTGGGATACCCCCTGTCACGATGGATGCCCCCCACCCAAAACCTGGCTCGTACACTTGTCCTCGCTTCCAAAAGGGAAATTCGACGCTGTGAGAATGTGCCACAAAGTGAATTATGTTAGTAAAAAAACCAAAAAACCAGTCCCCATATATTCCCTTACCATTTTCACACTGGTGATTTTGTGTGCACATAAATTTGGCCCACCCTGTATCATAACCAATTACCAGGGATACATTAATCATAGGCGACAAATTGAATGGCACATCACAGATCACGTTCTGTGGAACTGGTTCCATCAGAGGGTTGTCTCGCCCTATTGTCACAGCCTGTACTAGTTGATATTAATCAAATGTTTCGATATGATAATAAAGTGCAACTCAAAAACGGTTGATCTCTTGACACTCTCTGACAGTTTCAACTCGCTAAGCGAACAAAGCCGCTTATTGACGCCTCTTTGAATAACCTATGTCGACCTATAACGCTCCAGTATCGGGTCAAAGAAAAGAGGAAGGGAACTAATGGTGTTATCACCTCGTAGTACAGGGAAAAATAAGTGCGAATCTGCCTGAAGAGCGGGAAGTGA